ATTACGTTTAATCCACATTTCAATATCTCTTACAGGCTTCTCTGTTAAAGCCGCTCGCTTTTCTTCTTCAATCTCAAAAGATCGCATCATTCTAAATGCTTCAGCATATGGATTAATTTTTCAAAGTAAAATATCTAATTCCGAAAATAATTTTGGCAAACATTTATTATTATATTTATTATTTAACCTTTCCTGAACAGCTTCACCATATTCAACAAATAAACGCCTATTATCTAATGTCTTTATAGAAGGAAAGGGACTTAAACGATTACTTCTAAACATAAAAACTAAATGATTTCTCTTTTGACTGTGAACGAAATCAAGATTATTTGGTTTTAAATTGAAGAATATACATGTTGCAATTGCTATTGCAAATAAACCACAATCAATACCATTCGGTTGTTGATGCACTGTTGCAAAAACTACTGGTGGTTGATAAGGATATAATCTATTTAAATATTTCATTTGATCCTCATTTTAACAACCTAAATTAAGACTATCATAAATATAAAGTCTTGCTCCATTGTAATAAGTGCATATCCAATGACCAGCAACACAAGAACCACTAAAAAGTATTTGAATATGCTTTTGACTTTTTTTAATAGAACAAATTTGATCAAGCATATTTAAATACAAGGTACTTTGCATGTTGAAACTAGAATTAGATTCTCTTCTCAACAATTTTTCAAATTTATTATCATTTATCATAATTATCATTTAGCATTTCTCCTTCTTCATCAATAATTTTAAAATCTGCGTCACTTTAATTAACATACCTTTCTTTTTGTAACATGATTTTCTTAATGCAATTTACATATGTAAGTTTGACAACTTACCCCACAAAAATCCTCCTCTGTATAATTCACCTTAAAATAGTATTACAAATTTTAAAATATTTTAATTTAATGGTGCTTAAATTTATTGATATTTTAAATAGCCTTATGTTATGTAATCTGATTCTTATTCGTCATTATCTTGACATAATTCTTATGTGGTTTGAAAGACATTTAATGTCAGAATTTTTTATTACCCCCTAACAGCAACGGGCTTTTAATAATATCCTATGGATGTCCTACCCGCATCCGGAAATTTGTATAACTCTAGGATGTCCTCAAGAAATCTACGGATATACCTGAGACATCCTAGGGATGTTAAACTTTCCGGTCATCCCCAGGACATAAATGTTAATTTTTGGTAAAAATATTTTTTCATTTAGATTATAGATCCGTATTTTCTGAGGGGGAGGAGGTCAAAGTTTTGGAATTTTACAGTACACCGCAAGTTTTAATAATTTTTAGGGTTTCGTAGCCCAGGGCCAAAAGCCTTATAGTTTCGTTTTGGCTTTCGTCCGTCCTTCGTACATGGTAACTGCTTCCCTGGCAACAGTTACTTACTATGGCAAAAGTTACTTACTATGACAATAGTTAGCATAGCAAAAGTTACTATGCCAACAGTTACTATGGCAATAGTTGATTTCTAAAGCAACCGTTGCTATGACAGTGGTCAATATTACCATGAGGAGGACATTTTTTTAATATTTAAATTATAAAAATAGATGGATTCATTCGATACTAAAGAAAAAAATTTCTTAAGCAATATATTTATTATATTCCAAAGTTTTTTGTCTTATTATGCTTCTTTTTCCTTAATGAGTTTAATAAAAAAAAGGATTACATACTTTTACAGATGGAAATAAGTTTTTTCTTTTTACAATCAGTTGAACACTACACTCACAGAAATGATCTATTTAATATAAAACTAATTTCCTTTTAAATCATGTCCTTTCATGGTTAGCAGAAATAGTTTTAATGTTAAAGTAATCTTTTTAATTTAAAAATGTTAGAAATTTATTGAAAAAAAGAAAAAGGTTTAAATAGTAAACGATTTCTTTTGTTTTTGAAATGAAATCCTTTTAACCCAAAAGGATAGTCAATTCTTTTGATTTGACGTTAGTGTCAGTTAGTATATCAAAAGTTGCACTGATTTTCGTAAAGAATGGAAAAGTTAAACGAATTCGGAGTAAAAAAAAGTGATTTGGATATATTAATCGGTAAGTGAATTATTAATTCTTATATACTGGGGTGCGTTCACGTAACTCTCACACTCACTCTCACCCTCATTCTCACCCTCACTCTCACTCTCACTCTCACTCTCACTCTCACTCTCACTCTCACTCTCACTCTCACTCTCACTCTCACTCAAAAATTTTTCTCTCTCACTCTCACTCTCACCCTCACTCTCACTCTCACTCAAAAATTTTTCACTCTCACTCTCACTCAAAAATTTTTCTCTCTCACTCTCACCCTCACTCTCACTCTCACTCAAAAATTTTTTTCTCTCACTCTCACCTTTTGAGTGAGAGTGAGAGTGAGAGTGAGAGTGAGAGTGAGAGTGAGAGTGAGAGTGAGGGTGAGAGTGAGGGTGAGAGTTACGTGAACGCACCCCTGGACCACAAAAAATTTTTTTCTAAAATAAATTTTCTTCAGTTTGTAAATATATACAAAATAATGTAAAATCGAAATTTCTAAGAACTTATCACATGATTAACCTACATATTTTGTCCTTGTTTATTTATACTAAAATTATATATTCTTATTATTTTTTATGTTAGAAAATGATATTACTTTTGATATTTTGAAACTAATGTGTGACGATGATTTCAAAAGATATAACCTTAATATTAGCATCGGTTCAAAAATTCTAATTCAAAAATTTTTCAAAAGCGAACAAGAAAAAGAAAATAATTTTAATCATTTAAATTTGAACGGTGCAATGGTAATTTACGCAATTTTTATAATAATAATTATTTAGTTACAAAACTTTAAGTTGTTAGATAATTGTAATAATTATTTATATATTCGAAAAGTAAAATATAATTTATTAAAAATTGCAGGTTTTTCCCTTTGAAGAAAATTCTATTGATGATGATCATCATGATCTTGGTGATCGTTTATTAAGTCAAAATAAGGAAAAATCAAATTTCAATTCAAAAAGAAAATTTAACAGTGATTCTGACGAATTAAATAAAAAAAGAAATTGTTCTAATGCTTCTAGTAGCTCTAATGTAATACCGTTGAACGAAAAAAATACCTGCCCTGCCGAAAATCAAAAACTTTTAATTTCAAGTGATGAAATCCTTTCTGAAACAGAAGCCTTTTTGATTTCATCGTCACTGTATCTATCTGATAATTCTTTAAATAGAGAAGTAATTTTTTTAAAATTACTTTAACATATAATTATTAATTAATTTATATTTAATAAAATGATAAAAGTCATTTTCTTTAAATGAATGAAAATTGTTATATATTTTTTAAAATTCCTTTAGTTAATTCAAGCTCTCTTGCTTGAAAATTTGGAGGGACAAGCTGTGTTAGGGAAATGTAAGAACGGCTCGTTGCTTGATGACAAGGACCGTTCAACAATAGTATCAATTTTAATAAATCGGTGCAAAGTCGGAGATATAAAAAAGCCGCAGCAATTTTTTGACAGGTTGTCTGATTTAATTCTGAAAATTTTTTCAACTGAATCAAAGGACATTTATTACATTAAACCTTTATCAGATGGAAATGATTCTAAGAATGCGAAGGGTACTGTATAAAAAAATTTTAATTGATATACTTATAAGCAACAAATTTACAATCATACTGTAACTAAAAACTAAAACTAAAATTAAAAATAAAACTAAAAGTAAACCTAAAACTTAAACTAAAATTAATAAAAAAAAATTACCAGGTAAACTAGCGGATAAATGGAGAAACGTATTGTTTCGCCTTCGTTCGGTCGGAATTTTGGAAAAAAAATCACCTCAATTACCGGTTCAAAGTGCACCTATTTATGTACTGCCAGAAGAATCTGCATCCGGTCACATTAATTGGCTGAAGACGCACAGAAAATAGGAAGAAGTGCAACCACATTGGAAAACCACGACAGAATATCGTCGTCAACGAATTAAAAATTTAAGTCTCGAAGAACTTCTTACCGAGTGGCCTGTTTTGAACTCGGATTTAGCGACTCGACTGGTACTTTATACAATAAAAATTTTTATTTAATTTTAAATTATTTTCAAATTATAATTCTTATATGAATCAAAAAATTATTAATTATTACTAATTTAATTTTTGGATATATTACAGATTTTTCTCGATTTTGACAAATTATATCCTGGTAGAGAATTGCGAGCGACAAATTATTGGAATAACCTTTTCGCAGATCTATATGCACTTAAGAAAAGAAACATCACAAAACCCGATGGGAAAAAATTGTGTGAAATTTATGAATCGTCTCTACCCGTTAACCAAAGTCAAGTAGACGTTATTCAAGTCGAAGATGTTGCAATGCAAGCAATAAACAATGGAAACATCTCGAAGGACTCTTCGTCGACTAAAATTGATTTAGATGTTTTAAGAATAATGTTGCTACCCTTTTTATTAGTCTCGAAAAGTAAAGTCAAGACAAATGGCGTTATGAATAATCCGACTATTGTAGAAGTGCAAAATGGTTTGATTGTATGTGCCAAATCAAGACACACTTTAATTTCAGATATTGAAAAAAGACAACAACGCTACAGAGTAAACAAATCTCATTGTCAGCCGTGTTTAGCTGTTATATCGACAGATTTACTTACAATTGACAATGTTTTCGTTTCTCTGGACGACCAGTTGTGGTCATTTTCATCTACAATCAATGCTCTGGACTTTCTCTTTCAATTATATTTTGTTTTAAACATCGAATTCCCACCAGATTGTTATCACATATGGCTTTTCTTACAAAAAATGCTGTACGATATTCATCTTCCAAAAGTTGACAAAAAAATACCTGTTATTACACGCGCAATTAACGATCTGATTGCTTTCCGAAAAAATCAACCTTAAATCAATCATATTTTTCTAATTTTTGACGTAAATCATGTTCCAATGCAGTGAATGTAGTAATTCTTATTTGACTACATTACAATTAATTTTACACTATGAACATGAACATCATTATTCACAAACGAGTCCTTACACTTGTGGTAACGTTAGTTGTCGAAGAATTTTTGTTGGAAAAATTCCGTTTACGAAACATTTGAAATCCTGTTCCAAAAATGACGTAGAATCTTCGGCAAGTTTTACGAGTAAAGAAGCAAATATTGCTTCTACTTCTACCTATGAAATTCATGACAATTGCGATGTTAGAAAAAATGATTTCGTAAGTTTAGGCTTAGGGAACAAAGCATCTTCGTCAACTTTTTCAAGTACAGAAACAAATACTTCTACTTCGATTTATAAAATTTCTAATAACTGCAGTATTAGTAAAACTGACTTTATAAATTCAAGTTTAGATAATAAGTCTTCAGTTACAGTGTCTGTAAATAATTCTCAAAAATCAGAGATAGCAAAAGAAAACTTTTTAGAGAATATTGAAAATGCAGCAAATGGTTTTGTACAAACTTTTAATGGTTCAAGATCGCTTCCATATTCTGTTGTTCAGAAAGTAGTTAAAGAATGTGATTCGTTTTTAAATAATGGTGTACTCGAATCATTTGAAAATGCTGTACTTTCGGTGGCTGATTGTGATGATAATAAAAAAGAAGAAATTAAAGATCTATTTTCTGCATTTTCTGAATGTTTTACACATTTGAATTCTCATTACACAGCCCCACAAAAAAAAAAAAGTGTCATGTACTTTTGACCGGAATACACTAACCCTATGTATTTTGACGCGCTGAACACGAATCCGAAGTCCGTTTTGCTCCATCACGTCAGGATTTTTTTCTAACCTCAAAAAACATGTCGGATTTTGAGAAGTAGGCGATTTTTTTAAAAATTGATGTATTAACTTCAAACTTGGTATCTGGGGGTTTTTTGTGTCGCTGATTACAAATCTGAAGTTAGATTTTCAAAATCAAAAATGGCGGATCCAATATGGCGGACGAATTTTGAAAAAATTTTAAGATTTACTTCAAACTTGGTATCTAGGGGTTTTTTGGGTCGCTGATTACGAATCTGATGTCAGATTTTCGAAATTCGATATGTCTGATTCAATATTAAGGAATTATTTTTAAAAAATTGTCAGATTATTATGAAATTTGGTATCTACAGGTTTTCTAAGTTGCTGACAAGTAACACTAGGGAAGTGCCATACGCCGATTTTTCTGAAACTTGGCAGTTTTGTAGTTTTTTGAAAACAATTTGACACGTATGTTTTGTTTTTCCCCAAAAGCTGATTTATGGGGTGGAAATACCCCTTGAATTTTTTTTGGTAGGGGGACATTATTTTACGAAATTTTTCAAAAATTAATGTGCAATAGTGTATCTGGGGGTTCTTTGGGTCACTGATTACGAATCTGATGTCAGATTTCAAAAATTCAAAATGGCATATCCAACATGGACTTCTATCGGCCACATTAGATACGCCATTATCAATTTTTGAAAACTGACATCAGATTCGTAATCAGCGACCCAAAAAACCCCTAGATACCAAGTTTGAAGTAAATCTTAAAATTTTTTCAAAATTCGTCCGCCATATTGGATCCGCCATTTTTGATTTTGAAAATCTAACTTTAGATTCGTAATCAGCGACACAAAAAACCCCCAGATACCAAGTTTGAAGTTAATACATCAATTTTTAAAAAAATCGCCTATTTCTCAAAATCCGACATGTTTTTTGAGGTTAGAAAAAAATCCTGACGTGATGGAGCAAAACGGACTTCGGATTCGTGTTCAGCGCGTCAAAATACATAGGGTTAGGGTATTCCGGTCAAAAGTACATGACACTTTTTTTTTGTGGGGCTGTGTTATTTGCGAAAAAACATCTTTTAGAAACAAAATCTTATATTGCACCCCAAAGTATTCAGCTAAATGAAAAAAATGCCTTATCAGGTAAAGTACCCGTAGGACAGTATATTCCAATAGCACCTGTGTTGAAAAAGTTCTTAGAAAAAGGGAAATAATGTCAAAATGCTTGATGTTTTCATGACTGAAATAAAACAAGATGATCCTCGAAATCTCAGACACCTTTGTCAAGGTAATTTATGGAAAAATATTGTGGAAAGATTTCCTAATAAATATGTGGTGCCACTCGTATTATATTTTGATGACTTCACTGTTGGCAATTCATTAGGTCCTGACTCTTCTAAAAATAAAATAGGTGTTGTTTATTACAATATTCCTGCATTTTCTCCTGAATTCGCAACAAAGTTAGAAAATATTTTCTTAGCACAAATATTCAATTCAAGTGACAGAGTAGAATACGGTAATGAAATTATGTTTAAAGTCCTTTTAGACGAATTGGAAAATCTTAAAAAAAGGGATTCCTCTTGAAATTGACGGAAAAATTATTCAAGTACATTTTGCTATGTTTATATTAGCAGGAGACAATTTAGGAGTACACGGCATGCTAGGGTTTACTGAAAGTTTTATTGCAAAATATCCTTGTATAATTTGTAGAGCAGATATTGATTCTATTCGTAAGGGCGAAGCACTAGATCCAAATTTATTAAGAAATCCTAAAAATTATGAGGAAGATCTTAAGATAGGAGATATTTCCAAAACTGGAATAGGCAAACGGTGCATATTTAATCGATTAATAAGCTACAATGCAGTAGAAAATTTTTCAAGTGATTTAATGCACGATTTTTACTTAGGATTTTTTCGTTACGATATGGCTTTGATTTTAATAGAGTTGATGGAACGCACTAATACTTCATTAAATGATATCAATTCAAGAATTCTAAATTTCAATTACGGCATTGATGAAAATGATAAGCCACCAGTAATTAGTCCGAAGCATTTGAAGCAAAAATGTATTATTTTCTACGCGTCTCAAATGATTACTTTTGTGAAGTATTTCACTTTCCTCTTTGGTGATTTAATAAAGAAAGAAGAACAAGTGTGGACTCTGTTCTTAAAACTGCGTCAAATTGTAGACATTTTGATGTGTAAAAGCTTGCAAATCGAAGCTGTAAACTTATTGAAATGTTTTTATCAGAGTACTTCTCGTTACGCAAGGAATTATTTCCGGAGGAGACACTAAAACCAAAACATCACTATATTCTACATTATCCGGATTTGATTCTTTTATTAGGTCCCATCATTCTCTTGTGGTGTATGGCTTTTGAGGCAAAACATCAACAACTTCTAGCGTATTCAAAGAATAATAAAAATTTTAGGAATGTTCCATATTCTCTTGCTGAAAAGCACCAATTGACATTGGCTACCCATTTTGGAGAAGTAAGTTCAGAATGCAAGAAAATAATTACAGGTCTTAGTTGGGAAATGGGAATTAAGTCTATGAAACATTATCAATCTTTTGGTCATCTTCTTCCGACTACTGAAGCTTCAAAAACTGTCAGGGAGACAAAATGGATACAAATAAATAATAAAAAATACAAATTAGGACAGTTTCTAGTTGACAAAAGTCAAGACGATTTTGAGCCTAGTTTTCTCGAAATACTAAATATTTTTAGTTTCGAAAATGATGAAAAATTCTATTTTGTTTTAAAATCATGGGTAACGGTTGGATTTAATGAATTAGTACATGCGTATCAAGTTGAAGCCGCGCAAATTTGGCAAATTTTAGAAGTTTCCCCATCATCTAATTTTGATTTGTTTGAAAAACACGTTTTCGCATCAGATGGGAAATTTTATATAATGTATTATTATTAATTATTTATTAATAATATAATTTTTTGCGTTTAAAAAAAATGTTTATTTTTAAGTAACAAAGTGTAAAATATTTTGTACATTCTAAATTAAATAAAATTGTTTGAAAATATTAAAATTTTTATTATTTCAAAATTTATGTTTTGAAAAATCACAATTTTTTTGAATTAACAATCTTCAACAAAAGTTTATGTCGAATTTATGGAAGAAATTTAATAATTAATTTGAAATACTTTTTAAACTTTAGTAAAAATTAAATAACTAAATAATTATTAATCATTATTAATTAATTAATTAATTACTAATAATACAAATAAATCAAAATAGTAATAAAACTTCCTTTAAATAGTAAACTAAAGTCATTTAATAATTAAAGGACATATTTTAAAGGAATTTCCTCTTAATAGAAAAGGAAATCCTCTTAGACAAATATTGAGAGGAAAATCCGCTTACGGTTAAAGGATTCCTTTTTACGTAAATAGACTGTTTTGTGAGTGTACCGAACATTAAATAAATGCACACTTTTTTTATTAATAACACAGGCCTGCAAAATTTAACTTTTTTCAGTTTCTAGAATGGGTGTACTTGTTTCTTGTAGTTTTTTATGTGCTAAAAACGAATCTGACCTTCAAGATGCCCTATCACGTCAGGATTTTTAGTAAATGTAGCCTAAATGGTAAAAAATTGGCCATTTTAGCCATTTTTGATAATTTTTTTTGGGATAGAAATTTTTTTTCAATTTTCGACGAAAAAGTCGCAGAGTACAACTCTTTAGCTTTAAAACCTATTTTTCAAAATTATTATACGATTTTTTAAAAAAAATTATGACATTTTGAAATTTACAGTTTCAGTTACGCCAATAGACGTTATAGAGCAATTCCATGGGATGTGATCACAAGAATTTTTGATGATTGGAGCAATTTTATTGAAACGTTGTGAATATGTTCCTTTATTTGTACAGAATGAAAGCCCACAAACAATTTTTTAAAATTTTTTGAGATATTTCCAATTAAAAATTTATTTGTTTTTTTAAAAAGACCATGTAACTTTTTTCCTGTTATCCAAATGAGATCAATTTTTCTTAAATTGCTCAGAAGAAGATGCTATTTTAAGAAAAAAATAGTTCATGAAAAAAAAAATTTTTTGCCCAACATTTTTTGACAAGCAAATAAATAAATTTAAAAAAATCTTATCTTTGGGGGCCCAATGTGAGACCTACTGTAAAAAATTAGTTTCCATCCATTTCGTAATCGTTATGAAATTCCAAAAATATTGGGCCCAATCCCAGACATTTGGCCCAATATTTTTGGCATTTGTACTACAAGTCTTAACCCAGAATTTCAGAACGATTACGAAATGAATACTGGAAATTAGTGGGTTTTATTTAAGAAAACTAATTTCTTTACTGTGGGCCTCACATTGGGCCGTGGAATCTCACATTGGGCTCTGTGCCCAATTAAAAAATTAGCTTCGAATTTCTAATTCTGTGACCCCAAAAATAA